CAGAACTGTGCCTGATCCTACCCTTAACCCATCCAGGGATTGGAATGGACAGACTGAAACGATTCTGGATACGATAAGGGCTCAACAACCGTCCCTGAAAAGGTGGTCGGTACGGACTTCTATCAACCATTGGCCCTCTGTATACGTCAGAATGTCTTTCATGTCATATTTTATCAGAGTACCAGAGAGATCTACCCGTAGCCCCCCTTCCCTGTTGAGGGTGGGGTTGTACCTTCTTTCATACATTGCATACATTTTCTTATATTTCTCATGGCAGACAGTGGTGGCCGAAACTTGGAGAAGATCCCTGTTGGTGGACGAGGAAAGGAACCAGGACGTTTTCTACTGCACTACTGCGTGGCCGTGTCTACTGACAATGAGATGTTTGTAAATGAAGTGTCCAACAAACGCATCAACGTCTATAGCATGTCAAACGGTGCCTTGATCCGCATTTTCGCAACAGTAGTGCCAGGTGGAAATGAGCGTATTGTACCTTTCAGTGTCGCTGTTGGTGTTGACCCTCAGTACCTGTGGGTATTTGGGAGTAGCCAATATTTCTATAAGGGTGGTGAACGTGTCATACAGTACAGTAGATATGGCCACCCCATTAAAACGTTCAACGTAAGCGTCAAAAATCGACATTTGTTTCCAAATCTCGCCATCGCGATAGACGTGCGCAACAATAACATTATCGTGGGAGACAGAGATACAATATGGGTGCTCGATCCAAACGGACATATCTATCGGAGTTTTAAAGGGTTGGCAACAACTAGACAGCGAAGGGATGGAATTGGAGGAATCACGTTAGACAAGGAGGGGAATATCCTGTTTACTGACCTGTATGAAAGCGTGAAGGTGTATAATTACTCTGGAAACAAGATATTTGAATTCGGCACTCGTGGAAACGGCACGGGCCAGCTAAGTAAGCCAGCAGGTCTTTGTTTACACAACTTGGGTCACATTATTGTGGCAAACTATCTGAACGACAGGGTGGATATGTTCACACGTAGTGGGGAGTTTGTACGTACCGTCGCGAACGTTGAACGCCCGTGGGGCGTCGCTATGGGGCCGGGTGGACAGTTGGTGGTGACTAGCAGAATCACCTACAAAGTATTCATGTTTGCACGCGAAGAGGTGCTTCTTTGACACTCATACAACCAATGCATGTTTATTTGGGGGGGGGGGGTATCAAAGGGAAGGCATCGGTTTGATCTTAAACGTGTAGTAGTAGATGTATATGTTTCTTTGTCTATTTGGACTTTTCCCCAAGTGAAAGGGAAGGCAAAACAGGTGCATACGCACCTTTACAAAATTTTACATAGTCAAATTTTACATAGTCAAAGACAGCAATATATATGAAAATACACAAAACAGGCAAAAAATATGAGTTCAGCATGATTCAAATATAGCTAGTAATAAGTGGGATAAATCATGTTGAAACAATAACTTCTGACGTCTAGAGGCAATGCAAGAACTACACCCACAAGAAGTGGTCCATTTACATGGCAGGTCAAGACTGTAATGTGTGTCAAATCTGTTGTAGGTGGCCTTGAGTAGTGTGTGCTTAAATGATATAATATCAGGCTGATTAGCTGCTCGCTCACCAGTACTGCAGAAGTCAGAACCTAACTTAATCCAATTAGTGACAAGCCTGGGGATGTATGTGTGAATGAATGAATGAATGAATGAATGAATGAATGAATGAATGAATGAATGAATGAATGAATGAATGAATGAATGAATGAATGAATGAATGAATGAATCTAAAAGGAGTTCTTGTGGTTATAGTGGGAAATGAAACATATTTCTCCACCATTGCCCTTGACTTAACAAAAAGCATGATGTCCCCAACCTCAGCCCTAAACGTGAGCGGTAATAATTATGTATAACTCACGTGTTTGTAGGATTTGCAAGAAAGGAAGGACGGAACTTTATTGCTTGACAATTGTACATGGTACAATGTGTAGTAGAAAGACAGCAATACTACAAAACTGAACTACCTTACAATTAGTACTGCAAACTACTGTCGATAATGATATACATGTGTATGAGTTACAATATGGCCATGTTTCAATTGATGATTTGGCCTTGCTTATGGAATGGAAGTTCATGACAAAAGCATCGTTCTGTCTACCGGATAGGGTGAACTTTGTCTTCGTATATGGTTAGTTATTTGAATCCAGCTGATGTAGATTGTTACTATGTGAAGGAGGTTACTAGTATTTACCTCTACAGAGTATGTTCTCCGTGTTTTTTTAGCTGTAAATTCACTATTTTCTGGGACGACGTTTGGCATGTTGTCTTCTAGTATGGTCTTGATAATGCGCATTGTTTTTAATATACCGTTACGGTAGAAGTTTTCATAGGTCATATAACACTTTAGAAAACACCTCCATTTTGATGGTATTTTGTATTCAATTATTTAATTAAAAGAAAACTTTCGCATATTTTTGTGTAAATAATTAACGATCATATTCCACGCCCAAAAAAGTTTTTTTGGATATGATTATTACTCATTACTTTGTTACTGTAATAATTCTCTGGGCATGAAAGATATAAGTTAGTTGCGTTTAAATTCAAGAAATAACACATCTAGTCAACAATTGGAAAGCAGTAGAAAATGTAATAAGTCGATTTATTCTAACTCTATTACATGTATTAACATGTAAAGAGAAATGATGAAGTTTCCACTGCTGCATTAATGTATTTCCTAAACCGACAATTTTTCACAGATACTTACGCGGGTAACAGATAAAACTCACAATAGGTTGTATTTTATATTTACTTATTTATTTATTTATTTATTTGGAATATACAGCCGTGGCCACCAAGGCCGGCTGGCGAGTGAGAGTAACAGTTGCGGATGAACCTTCAAATTTCAAGTCACACAAGAGGAACAATAAAAGTGTTCTAAGACTTGCACACTTTTGTGAGCTATTTCCAAGGACCACAATATCTTTACAGCTCCTGTACATTAGCTGTATTACTTGCGACTACCTGCAATACGATGAATAAGTACATGTAAACCTTACAGGTAACACGAAAACTTCCACATGATCCAATTCATGTAGACGATATATATATATATATATACCGTCACTATCGATACTTAAGGCCTTGTATCATTTACTGCTAATAATGCACTGTCTTTTCAGACTTTGCGCAAAGCAATATTCAAATTCATAACTTGACTGCGTTTGCTCCTGTAACAAAACAATTAATTAGAATACACTTATATGCACATGTTGGGGGCAAACAATTATAGAGTTCCTAATGCTGCACTGAATTCTGGCAGATGGTTATTCACTATAAACTCAGAGATAGCAGATGAGTTCCCCCAGGAACTGTACGGCGTTTGGTGGAAGAAAATCGCATAAACGGGACAGCTGTCATGGATGGTCAACGATTCAGAGATATATTGAACAACTAGGACTATAACTATGTTGTATGGTTCAAACTAAACATGTATTTACTGTATCTGTATAGCCGGTATAACCGCTTTTCAGCGTAACACACCAGCTTCGCAGGCACGCGGCGCGGCGGCAGCTGGCTACATTACACCGATCAACTTGTTACACCTAACCATTGACCATCTAACTCTAGACATTTTTTAAATCTATCTAATGACAATGCCCCTACTGTACTTGGTGATAGCGAGTTCCACTCTGCGATAGTTCTAGGAAAGAATGCATTCTTGAACTCCTCAATCCATGGTTGATAACTCTGGCACTTGAAGGCATGGCTATTATTTCTTCTTCTCCTCTGGGCTGGTATTAGGTACTTAGTAATTGGGACGTCTACCACGTTCAGACTGTGCTGAAGGACTAAAGGACACGGACAGTGCTTTAGAAGTTCTCAGATTTTATTCACCAAGAAAATGTAAATCACACTATCAGCAAGTCCATGGCATAAATTAATGCAAAGATCAATCAATAATCTACATCACCAATAGAATATTAACTTACAAGCACACCTGGAGTTTAAAACTTGGTATCAAGAATGAATCCTGTTTGAAAGTTGTACTGCACATGTGCTACACGAGTTTTGGATATCTTATGATTTGGTTGTACATGTAGTATTGAAAAGGATGACACATTAAAAGTTGCAGATTACGTTAATACACACCAAAATGTTGCTATGCACATCTGCTTTGCCCGCAACCCCCCACCACCGCCCCCTCTATCCATTAACGGACACGTGCTTGAGGTGGTGCCCATTGCCAAGTGCTTGGGAGTCACATTTCAAGCCAACCTGGGATGGGACAGTCAAGTCAGAGAAATCACGTAAGGGGAACCAGCGCTTGTACTTGTTGTGCCGACTACGTCAGTTTGATCTACCGGTGGAGGATCTGCTAACGGTCTACAAGTCGTTTGTTCGCCCGGTGGTTGAGTATGCCGCCCCGGTATGGCATGGGGGGTTAACACGTGACCAACGGAAAAAAATAGAGAATATACAGAGGCGAGCGGCAAAGATAATGCTGGGAAGAAACTACCACGGGTATTCGTCAGCCTGCGACGTGCTTCATTTACAAACACTTGATGACAGACGTTCCACTCTCTGTCTGAAGTTTGCTAAGAAACTGCTCAACTCAGAAGAGTACCGTGGTTGGCTGCCCGAACTCAGAGGTGACGTCAGCGGTAGGGTAACAAGACAAAGAAACCAACTAGACCGATTGCCAGTACACACAGAGCGGTACAGAAACAGTCCAATACCATTCTTAACCAGTCTGCTAAATAACAGCATGTAGAATGAAGTTTTATTACTATAGATGATGTTTTTAACTGAATGACCTACGATCGTAACCTACGTATTGTAAATATTTTAAAATAATTTGCTGTTTTTAACTGTTTTAATACTTGCTTGTAATATTGAAGTCAATCGTATTTAAACACTTATGTAATGCGGCAGATCAATTCAGGGTCCTATGGGGACCCTGCTACTCTGTATCGTACGGTCAGAATGAAATAAACCACTATTATTATTATTATTATAAAATGACTATTCAACTCCAACCACCATCTTTGCATATTTTGATCAATTGAGCTAGGTTCTAGGTACACTATTCAAGTACATTAAGAGGTGTTGTATCTCTTTCTACTTAATTAAAACAGTACAGCAATGTAAGCCTTAAGAAACAAATCAAAATATTTTAAAATCTATAAACCGCTATATTTGATTTTGGTACAATTTGTAAGACCTACAACAAAACATAAACATCGACACCTCAGACGTACTAGTGACCACATCTACTGATAATATATGTTGCCTAACAGGACCTTGCAAAAAAAAAACAAAGAAAATGCGTGTCATAATATGTCCGTTATCTTTAAGTTATTTACTACACTATGTTAGTTAAGCATACAAAGGAACACCAAATATGTAACGCCACACTGTTACGTGCTAACTTAAAGATGTTTAAGTGAAAACTACATGGTGTAATGTGCTGGTTTATGTCTTTACGTAAAAGACTAACAATTTTTTATGGGTAGACTCATAGATAGCAGATGAGTTTTCCCAGGGTGTAATAGCCTTCTTCGCGTGCATCACCAGTATCTCCAAACCTGAGCTGGGTGACCGGCAGGTCATTTTTGTGGGACAGGAACCCAGAATCTTCGCGCCATCTGAGATCATTGGCATCACAATTGCATCTACCGGAGCATGCGCCTGTTATGCAGGGAAGTACAATAAAAAAGCTAGTTTGCGAAAGGTTTTGCATCAAACCAAAAAGTAAACATATTAAGCAAACAGAACAATGCCTCAACATTCAACAATCATTGTCTTTGAGTAAAAATAGACACGTGGAAGACCTGCTCATTGTATTGTACCTAGAGCAGTCTGCACAATGCAGGATCAAGTTATAATTACCTGTTTGTCCACAGGCACATTTCCCACTCCCAGGACTGGCACCTCCCCAGTAGTCAGTCTGGCGACCGTCCCAAGTCACCCACCAGGCGTGGGGTCTTACAGTCGAGCCCCAGATCACTGAACTATGGCATTCATACTGGAAAATGTACATTTTTATAATTCTGAGCTAAATGTCACCATGGCGTTTGCAATATCACCGAGTAAGAATCATTATAGCAACATATAATGTCTTGAGTAAGGTATTGTATTATTGTTTAAAAAATGTACTTGGTAATATATAACTGCTTATCACCCATCTTAAGCCATGTTCAGCTTGTACCCTACTGACTGTAACTGGTACTTGTTACTACTACTAGGATTCTGAAAGTTGGAACAGACATACTGTCGTGCATCGATGTCTGGCGGATGACTGGTTATCTCGTTGATATCATGACGATACACAGGAGATATGAGAGTTGACTGTGATCTTTATTTACATGGTTTTCTCAGTGTGTTCTTGTGACCCACAATGCAATGCGGCCAAGGCCCCTTATGTGGTTTATGTTTACCTGATGATTATCAGACTATGTAACATCCCTTTTTCTAATAAAAAATAAAATCTTTCTCTGTCATGTCTTGTGCTGACTTAGGAATATATGTAGACTTATAGATAATGTTCATGGTCCATTGTTTGTCTATTGTCCATGGTGTGGTCGAGCTCTCTTTTCTCTTGCTGATCTAATTCTAGGGTTGTCTATCTAACATAGGCATGAAACTCTTTTCTATAGCCTAGTTTACTGTGTAGTCTTCCTGAGTTAGCTGGTTGTTATATTCTAGTAACAAAAATATTAGGATGTTTCCTATTCTATATAACATAAGAATGCTTCCTAATCTATAGATTACCAGAGCGAGGGTGGTAATCTTTTAGCAGGAACCCTGGGATTATTCTGCCCAGTAACATGGTTCTGCTTATGCTTCTAGTCTAAGTGGCAATGCGTTAGTCACTGTTCTCAGTCTCTGATCTCAGTCCATTTCAACATAGCGCTTCGGAGGTAGAATGTTGTCTCTGGATCTCAGGACTCTGCTCGTGTTCTGCACTATGCCACGTGATGCAGGGTTGTTGTTCAGGTTCTGCGCTGCCTGCTGATTGGTTGTTGTCGATGGATGAACATCTGTTGCAGGTGATGTTGGTGTTGTTATTGGGATTTCAGGTGTTGGCCTGATGTGGATCCTATTTCTTCTTAGCTGACTTCCGGTGTCTGTTTCTATAATGTAGGACCTGGGTGTCTCTGCTCTGTTGAGGATTCTTCCTGGACTCCAGGTTTTGTTCCTGGGATCTTGGATGTGTACGCTTTGGCCTGCGAATAGCTCTGGCAAGCTCTGTGCGTGTTTGTTGTAGTGCTCTTGTTGTGTCTTCTGAGCAGCTGTTAGCTTTTCTCTTGTTTCCTCTTTGTCAATCGGGTGTTGGATTCTTGTTGGTAGCGTTGTTTTGTATTGTCTTCCATTCAGGATTTCAGCAGGTGACTTCATGTCGCTTTTCAGTGGTGTCGCTCGTAGGGACAGCAGTGCTAGGTTTGGATCTGACCTTGACTCTTTGTATTTGATCAGTGTCTTCTCTACTGTTTGCACATGCCGTTCCACGAATCCGTGACCCTTAGGGTAATGTGGAGAAGATGTCTTGATCTTGAATCCGTACTCATTTGCTAGTTGTTTGAATTCATCAGATGTGAATTGTGTGCCATTATCACAGATGATCTCTTCGGGTATACCTTGCTCTGCGAACAGACCTCGGGTGATTGAAACAATGGTTGACGCCTTGAGATTTGGCACGTTCTTCACGAACGGGAACTTTGAATAGTAGCACACTACTTATAAGAACCATTGTTGGTTGATTGTGAAGAGATCTACTCCCACTGTTTGCCACGGTCTGCTTGGGATTTCGGTTGCGATCATCTCCTCTTTTTGTTGAGAGTTCTTGTGTTTTTGGCATGTCTGACATTCTGCAACCATCTTCTCGATCGCTTTGTACATTCCTACCCAGTATACAGCAGATTTGGCTCTTAGCCTGCATTTTTCTGCTCCCAAGTGTCCTTGATGTATCAGGGCTAGGACTTCTTCTTGCATGGCTTTGGGCACAATGATCCTTGATCCAGCTAGCAGGACTCCATTTTCCACAGCGATGTCATCGCGGATTGACCAGTATACCCGTAGTTCTGGCTCTACTTGGTTTCTCCTTTCTGGCCATCCTTCCATCACCTGTGTCTGGAGCATCTGCAGCTCTTTGTCTTTCTTCGTCTCTTCCTGGATTTCTGTTAGTTTGACGCTCGTGATGTTCACTATGTGGTGAATCTTCACTTTCATTCCCTCCATTTCTTGCTTCTCATGTGGAGACAATCTGGACAGGGCGTCTGCTAAGAGCATCTCCTTGCCGGGCTTGTATGTAATCGTATAGTTGTAGTCTTGAAGCCTCAGCAGTAGTCGTTGTAGTCTGGTCGGTGCTTTCGTTAGGTTCTTCTTGTCGATCTGCTCAAGCGGCTTGTGATCGCTCTCAATCTTGAAGTCTCTGCCGTATAGGTATGTCTTGAACTTTTCGCATCCATATACGACTGCTAGGAGCTCTCGTTCGATGTTCGCGTATCGTGACTCAGCTTCTGTGAGTGACTTTGAGGCGAATGCTATGGGTTTGCCTTCCTGCAGTAGTGCTGCACCAACTCCCTTCATTGACGCGTCCACCTGTAATGTGACCGTCTTATTCCTGTCGTAATATTGCAGGGTCGTAGCATTGCTGATGAGTTGCTTGAGCGTGTTGAAGTCTCTGGTGTGTGATTCGCACCACTTGTACTCCACGTCTTCTTTTAGCAGCTCTCTGATGTTTGCTGTGCAGTCAGCTAGTTTGGGGATAAAGGCACTCATATACTGAATGAGTCCCAGGAAGCTTCTCAGCTCCTTCTTATCCTGGGGTTCTCCCATGCCTGCAATTGCTTGGACCTTGTCAGGGTCAGGTTTCACGCCTTCTCCAGAGTACACCATTCCGAAGAACTTGCACTCGTCTTGTTTGATGATGCATTTGTTTGCATTCAGTTTTATTCCGGCTTGCCGTGTCTTCTCCATTGCCTCGTGGAGGTGTTTGTCGTGATCACTGTCACTTTTACCAAACACTTGGATGTCATCGGCAATCCCGATTGCCCCCTTTGATCCCCTATACGCTTCGTCTATCTTCCTCTGGAACACATCTTGACTAACCTTTAGCCCGAACGGGAGGCGGTTGAAGCAATACCGACCGTATGGTGTGTTGAACGTTGTCAGCAGTGCTGATTCGCTGTCGATTTTAATATTCCAGTAACCGTTACTGGCGTCCAACTTGCTAAACACCTTTGCTCCTGCTAGTGCTGGTGTTATCTCCTCCAGCGTCGGTGTTGGATAGTGGTTGCGCTTTAGAGCGTTGTTGAGATCTCTAGGGTCTAAGCAAATTCGGAGCTTTCCATCTGGCTTTTCCTTTATTATGATCGAGTTCACCCAGTCTGTCGGTTGGGTCACTGCGCTGATTATGCCTTTGTCTTGCATCTCCATCAGTTGTTCTTTTAGCCTCTCTTTTAGTTCCAGAGGTACACGACGTGGAGGGTGGACAACAGGCGTCGCAGTTGGGTCTACTGTTATGTGATATTCCCCCTCAAAACAGCCTACTGTATCATCAAAGCACTCAGGATACATGGCAAGTAGATCGACCTTGTTGTTGATGGGTGGTCGATCCTTGATGGGCACTTCACTGTCGATTCTCTGTGTCGACTTCACTTCGTGGTTGATTTTGATGACATTCATCTGTTGGCATGCCTTCAACCCAAGGATAGCTGGTCCTTGTGACATGGTTATGTAGAAACAACATCTGACATCTCTTCCATTGTGCTTCCCTTCAATGATAGCTTTTCCCAGATGTGGAATCTTTGCACCCCCATACGCTGTTAGTATTGTGCTGCTGGGTGTCAGTATTCCCTTCTTTACCACTCCGTCTTTGGTGATGTTCTCTGGGAATATTTTGCTATACTGTTCTATTGGCAAGATGTTGCTTTGAGCTCCTGTATCAATTTTCAGTCTGAGCTTAATGTTCATTCTCTTTTTGCCTGTTTTCTTCTTGATCTGCAGTGTTGTGTACACCTCATCTTTCTGTTTGTCATGTTCCAGTTCATGGACATGGATGGTTCCAATTGTAAGAGACTCTTCCTCTGAGCTACTCTCTCTTCTCTGTTGGAGATGTATTTTCTTCTGTTTTGACCTTGCATCACTTCTGGAATGCGGTGGCTTACCTTTGGCATTTGTCGATCTGCACATCTTCTTCCAGTGGTTTGGTTTCCCACAGGAGTTGCATGTTGCTCCATAGGCAGGGCACTTATTACGGTCGTTGAACTCATGATGTGTACCACAGTACCTACAGATCTTATCGCCTTGCTTGGGTACCGTTTTGTAGCTTTGCTTCTGTTTCGGGCTTGACCCATAGCTTCGTTTGATGGTCTCAACTTTGATCTTGTTTGTACTCGCTTGCGAGGAAAGTGATGACATCTGTTTTGAGGTAGCCTCGAAAGCTCTAGCGGTATCCGCGGCTTCTTTTAGCGTCAGCGTGTCTTTTCCAACGAGTGACTTCTGGACCTCATTATGTGCACACCCCCAGATAAGCTGGTCTACGATTCTCTCATCTGTGTTGTTACCAAACCCACATTTCTTCGCCGCAGTTTTCAATCGAGTTAGGAAATCATCTGTTGATTCATCAGGGTTTTGTTTCATGCTTTGAAACTGATAGCGATTGATTCGTTTGTTTGGTTTGGGCTCCAGATGGTTGGCAAATCTTTCTAGAATCTTCTCTGGCTTCTTTTTGTCTGCATCCGTCATGTCCCATGAGTTATACAACTCGAGTCCTCTTTCCCCGGACCAAAGTAGGATGTAACTAACCTTCTGTTCTGGTGTAGTTTCCTTGAGGAAGCTTTTGAAGCACAGATCAGCTTTTTGTTTGAACTTCTGGAAGGCTCCGATGAGATCGTCTTCGTCCCAGTTCATCGACGGGTGGAGTCCCCTTGCTCCTTCGGCGGTCGCCATTTTCTTCTGTTCTTTCTTGGAAACCTCTCCAATTTTCTTCGTTCTCCGAGGACGAACGCAAGAAAATGGTTACTTCACGACACGTACGGTTCCTTGAACACCGCTGCCACCATGTCGTGCATCGATGTCTGGCGGATGACTGGTTATCTCGTTGATATCATGACGATACACAGGAGATATGAGAGTTGACTGTGATCTTTATTTACATGGTTTTCTCAGTGTGTTCTTGTGACCCACAATGCAATGCGGCCAAGGCCCCTTATGTGGTTTATGTTTACCTGATGATTATCAGACTATGTAACACATACGTTAAGCACAACCGCATCTCAGGCTCACACATGGTATGTCTGAAATGTAATTATAAATAAAACGTACCTTAATGAGCTGTTTGCACAGAGATGACTGGTCCACCACAGCTCTCACTTGGTCCATGCTGTTCCAGTAGGTCACATCCTTGGAGTAGCTTGCTGGAGCCTCAAACCCATCCACATGTGTCCGTGCCTCACTGTCGTGGCCAATCAGCGTAATTGCTGAAATTGTTATAAAGTGTTCAAATATCAGATTGTGTAGTTATTGGTAAATCTTATCTATTTAGCCTGTGTGAACATTATCATTACGGTTAGAAGCCTAAAATTTACACGGTCAATTACCTAAAGTTTAATGTTTTTATCTCCATGAAAAATGGAAGTATTGTTTTTGGCGCGTCTGTGTGTCTGTCTTTCTTTGTGTTTGTGTTTCTGCACATTTGTAGTCAGTATAACTTCATAACGCCTTTATGGATTGTGATGATGGGCCTCCGGGTGAATGACCTTGGTACTGCAGCAGAACTCCCGGTTTTTGTATCTTTTGTCCTGAACATGCTATGGTCTTGTTACCTCAATGAAAAATGGAGGTATTGTTTTTGGCGTGTCT